CGTTAACGAAGATTCTTATAACGAAGTCCTGATCGGCTGGATCGGCAACTTCGTTATATCGAGGTGTGACTGTATAAGTAAGTATTTTTATTTTTTTTATATTTGTTATTTTTGTATAAAATTACTAATATTTATTTAATATAAAAATAAATTGGATATTAAACAAGCTATTGATTATATTGTAGAAGTTTGAAAAAGTATAAAATAACAAATCATACATAATTATTAAGATAAAATTATAATTGTATCTAATTCTAATTCTGAATCAATACAATAAAGATTAGGTGTATTTTTTAATAAAATTCAGATATAATTTTAATAATTTTCTTTGATAATAAAATCTGAAATAGTTTAGTAAATTATATTTATGATCAAACTTTTCTAACTATTAAAGAAATTTTGATTAATGAACAAATTATAGACATAATATAAGATCATGATAAAGAAGTATCTGATACTAATAATAAAGAGAAACTAATTCTAAAAGTTTTACTAAAAAATATACTTAACGTAACTAAAAAAGTAATTCTCTTTTATGAATAACTATCTATTAATGATAGGTTTTAAATAGATAATTTTAAAGTTTTTAGATATTATATTTTAGATTTGAAAATGTATTATATTACATCTTTATAATAAAAGTTAATTGAAAATTATTTTTCTTAAATTATAATATTTTAATATTGTATATATAATTTTTAATTTTAGTAATATACTTAATATAATAATATAATAAATAATATGTCTATTAATTAATAAAATTGATATATTATATGTTTTTTATAGTTTTTTTTATTTATATTTTATTATTAAAAAATTTTTTGTTTATAATTACATCTCATTATAATTATTGAATATAAGATATTTCAAATATGTAACTATAATAAGAGTTGACAGTATTTGTATAATTATAGCATTAAAATTTATATAAACTTTTACTTCACTCTGAATTAATTATATTATAATAATTTTTATTTTTTAATTATATAATAAATAATTTAAAGTTATTTATAAATTAAAAGTTATAACTTTTAAAAAATTTTATATTAAAAAATTTTATCATTGACCTTTGATAATCTTATTAACATTTATTTTTAAAATATTAATTATAATAAAATAATATAAAATTTATAATAAAGAATAATTTTAATTATTATATTTTTATGATTTATTAAGAAATTTTATAATTTTATTAATAGTAAAATAATTTAAATAGTTTATAAATGTATGAACTTTAAAGAAATTTTAAAAAATTTTATAATAAATATTTTAAAACTTAATTTTAAAAAAATTGAATTATTTAAAAAACTTCTTAATAAACTTAAATTTCTTTTAATAAAATTGATAAATATATAGTTAATCCTTTCTATAATTACACTTCTTAGGACTGAAAAAAATGATGTAATTATAAAAATACTATATAATATGACTAAAGAGAGGTTTTTTTTTAATAAGTTTATTAGTAACTTTAGATAAATATAAATATACTTATAAAGAAAGTATGACTATATATAAGTGTAACTATAAAGAGAGTTAACCATATATTAAAATTAATATTTAATATTTTATTAAGAAATTAATATATTTTTTTTAAGTTTATAAATAAATTTACCTGTTAGACAATCTAAGAAATAGTTTTTAATTAGATATTTACTAAAATATTAATTAAAATATTATTTTAATAATATTTTAACTAATAATTATAAAATTTTAATATTAAATATTTTATTATTAAATAAATATTTTTATTTAAAAATTAAATAAAAATTTAAAAATTTATTTTATTTTAAATTAATTTTAATTACTTACTAATAATTTTTAAATATATGGATGCTTGGTAATAGAAAGAGAGGAAACTACCAAAAAATTTTTTTTTACTTTCTAAGCTAAATATTATTTTTTTAGTAAAATAAATTCAAATTTAACATTAACTCAAAAAAAATTTTTTTAGTAGTTTTCTCCCTTTCTACTGCAAAACGTCTCATATTGTGACACATAAATATTTACAATATCAATTATAAAATTCGTGTAACACTATCAGCCAATCATATAAAAGTCTTCCTATGATCGTGACTGTCAATATATATATCTTTTAATAAATTATTATCAGACTCATTATCAATATTACTAGCTTTATTTACATGATGTTTATTACCATTTACATCGTATATGGTATTCAGAATGTTTAAATATAACAGATGGTTAATTAATAATAATAACAATTAGGCAATATTTATTATACATTATTTAAATACTGATTTCTATGCGGGGTGTATAAAATGCATATAATTTTTTTATTATGTATGTGAATTAAAAATAATTTAATTAATTATTTTAATAAACTACTATAATTTTATTATTTCTCATCAAAGCATAAATATTTAAACAAACTTTCTCTTGTCCATATCCAGTGATGATTCTGATAATGAGATTTTTTACTAAAGATTTTCTTGAAATATTCCAGAAGATAGTGATTTTAGTTATGATTAGTAATACAGTGAATTCTTGACTTTAACTAGAAGTTGTGTTAACTTTCCTTACTTAAAGACTGCATTTAACATATCAAAATAATATGGGCACACCAACAAGGCTTTCGTAAAGGAGGTTGAAGGCAAAAGGAGAAAGCAGACAATAGTATGTCAGATGCCAAGGAATGTATAATAATCAAGAAAAGTAAATGTTAATATCCTCCAACCTATCAAAATAAAATCCAAATCCTATAATTTATATCACTAGTCTATTTAATGATTTAATGAGCAATCTTACATCATGTCATTTAGAAGCAAATAAGGCATTTACAATGCCTATGTTAGATACTGTATATTCAATGAATGTATATTTATGGCCGGTTAAAACAATTAGCTACATATAAAGCGTATGTTAAAGGCAAAATATAACAAAAAAAGTTTATTATAAGGTGAATTCAATTCAATCTAATAAGCTGTAATAGTCGAAATCAAAAATAAGTGCAGTTTGTTAATAATATCGGAAAAATGTCTATCAAATCCAAATCAAAAAATGGCTCCCTTCGGTCGCCAAAATATTTTTGTAATTTTTAATTTTTAATCGTTAGTTTATAGCAATGTTTTATATGTTAAAATTTTAATAAAATTTTATAAAATTTTTATGCCATGCGTTAAAATTTTGCATTTAACACGCTTATAAAATATATGCACCCCTGTATTTTGCTCAGGTGCATAGAAAAAATACTCTATTATTAATTATAGGATAACTATATTTTTATTACAGATTATTTATAATATGGTTTATATAGGTATCGTCTCTTTATTTAATTGTGAAGCCTTTGGCTAAACCTGTTAGATAATTATATAATATAAATTAAAGTCAGTCTGTTAAAATTTTATGATAAAAGAATGAAATGTATTCTATGTTGAACTTGCAATAAATCACTTATTCGGCACTTCCACTATCTATATGCCTAGAATCAACTAATCAAATTTGATTTACCAATATAATAGTTATTCGCCGAATAACTATTAATTATGCCTTTAAGATTCAGAAAGGATAAAATGATATAAAATACTTTAGTCAAACAAAAAGGTTAATATTATTAAAACAATTATAACAAAATATTATACGAAAAGAAAAGATATGTATAGTATGTCCCTTGAATATTTTCGATAAAATAAATTATTTGAATTTCAAAAATTTCACTTACACTTTTTTTATTTTTTTTTTTCTATTACTCAACAAATTTCCGTATTCAAATCTGCCGAACACAAAAAATATTATATTTGTTGATAAACGTTACATTTATATTAAAATAGAAATCATACAAAAAGCAAATATAAATATGCATATTTTATTTGCTTTTACTCAATTTTAGTTATCATCATGAATCAATTTGGTCTAATTTTGTTATTTTTATTCATTTTAACTCACTTTATACAAATTGAATTATTATATGCTCAAACAACCAGTCAAATTAAATTTATAAAAAATTATCGAAGAGAGACTATAATTAACGATGATAAGGGTGTGACTTTAAATCAAAGTTCAGATGATGGTAAAGCACCAGCACCAGCACCAGCCGACGGTAAAGCACCAGCACCTGCTGATGGCAAAGCACCAGATCCAGCACCAGCTGATGGTAAAGCACCAGCACCAGCACCAGCACCAGCCGACGGTAAAGCACCAGCACCTGCTGATGGAAAAGCACCAGAACCAGCACCAGCCGACGGTAAAGCACCAGCACCTGCTGATGGCAAAACACCAGTACCAGCACCAGCCGACGGTAAAGCACCAGCACCTGCTGATGGCAAAGCACCAGAACCAGCACCAGCCAACGGTAAAGCACCAGAACCATATGATGGTAAAGCACCAGCCAACGGTAAAGCACCAGCTAACGGTAAAGCACCAGCTACAGCAAAAAAACCTGCTGCAACTCCATCTCCAGCGATAACAAAAGTTAATACAGGTGTAATCGCTGGTTCAGTGATAGGAGGAATAGTTGGAGTCATTATTTTGATTATAATTTCTTTATTCGTATTTAAAAAGTATAAACAAAAAATGAAGAATAACGCTATATTAACTCCCGGAGATTATGAAAATGTTATGCCAATTTCTGGATCAATTAAAGATAAAGAATTGCCAACTAC